AAAAAATAATAATTTTTTTTGAAGGGTTTTAAGTGAATTGAAATCACTTTGACTTAAAATTACGTTTATTTGAATTTGTTTATACACAAATCCAATTTGAATTTGTTTATTTACGTTTTAAGTGAATTGAAATCACTTTGACTTAAAATTATAAAAAGAAATTCACTTTAACCTTACCTCAGTAGAAATGAACTGAACTTAATCACGAATTAAAATCTAAAACTGGAATCACGAATTAAAATCTATTTTGATATCTCTAGTTTTAAAATTAACAAATATACACAAAAATTGTGTTCGCTGTAAACAAAAGACTAACTATATTTCAATATACATATACGTTTACAAATTCAACATATAAGTTTACACATGTTCTTTATAACAAAGACGGCTCACTATATTTCCATCTTAAACTTATTTTCGTAAAACGCATATTACAAGTTTATAAATAGAGAATAAAAATTGCCCAAATCAATCAACTCATTCTACTTTGATTCATTTTAGATTTATAACGTTTTTAATTCAATTTAGTATACATTAACTCTAAATTCGAGTTTTTTATTCTGATTTTCATTTTCTTTTATTTTTATTTCATTTAAATAATTTAAAACAAATATAACATGAATTTAGAAGAAAAAACTAGCAACACATATTTTTTTATTCTTGATTCTAATATTTTTTTTTATCTCAGTTCAGGTCAGTTTAACCTAATCTATAGTTGATGAGGTTGAATTATTAATTTCAATATAGTGACAAATTCGGCTCAACTTATGGAATATTTTTTTTAAGGTTGAAAATGGGTTGACTTATTATAGACATTGACCTTATGAATCTCCATTTTACATTTTTAGAATACACTTTTCGAAATTTTAGAAAAATGGGTGCACAGTGAGGCTTTTAAGGTGTATAAAGAAATTATGCTTCAATAAAATTTCATATGGATTCTCTATCTAAAGTAGGCTCGCAGGGTCTCTTTTGGATTTTTTTCACTAAGGTTTAATCATTCCGGAGGTTCCTATTTTCGGGCAGAATCTCAATTTGGTCCTTTTCTTTCTCGACGTCTCAATTGGGTCCCATTTTTGTGAAAATTGCAACAATTCGGCCCTTGCCGTTAAATTGAACCCAACGGAGTCAGTGTCTTGTTGACGTGGCACGCTGGAATGAGTTTTTAATTGACGTGTAGGGGATACTCCGTATGACGTGTATATTTATATTTTTTTAAAAACAAACAAATGGAAAGTAGGATTTTGGTGTTTTTGATGATGGTGCTAAAGACGAGAATGGTAGCCGCGGAGGTGGCGGCTGGGGAGAAACCCACTGACCCCGGCGGTGGTCATCGACGGAGTCTAGTGGAAGCAGAGCTCTTACCTTTTTCCATGGCAGCTTTAATGGCATCCGAGAGATTCATTCAACATGTTAATTAGGAATTGGGATTGGGAGAAGTTTGTCTTGATATTGTGGAGTTCTTGTAGGGTTCGTGCAAGGTTCAATCAATTTCACAAATTGGAGTATGAATTTGGGGATTTAGGTTTTAATTGAAATTGACGTTGACAGAGAGCATGCAGTTGTCGTCTTCGTCGAAGTTGTGGGAAGAGTGGAGGCCCCTTCGAACCTCACCTCCAACCTCGCCCCTGTCAGCTCCCTCGGAAACACCGTCGGCAAACCAACCTGTGACAGAAAAGCTCGGAAGCGGGCCTTACTCAAAGCGGGCCCAGGAGATGTTTTGGGACTCTTCAGCTTCTTCACACTATCCTCCAACATGGCCAAAGCCCCCAAATCCTCTTTCCCACACGACAGCACCAAATGCGGCTGTTACGGAACCAAAGCCGACCCAAACCGCGATGGCGCGTGGTAAAGGGAACCCAAACCAGAACCCGAAGCAAAAGGCGAAGTCGTTGTTCGCTTGCGATGGTTGTGCTGAGCCGAAAAGGGAGAAGCTAAAGAGGGCGAAGAAGAAGGAACGACAACGTGGGAGACAGAAGAAATGGGTTTGGCGGCGGAGTTGAAATTGGGACATGTGTCGCGCTTGAGGTGTTCGGAGGCGGTGCGTGAAGGGTTGGAGGCGGAGAAAACAGCGTCGCAGAAGGTGCAACGGAGTTTCACTTTGGGGAGTCTCGTTTCAGTGTTGTGAGCCAATAAGGGTTCCAGGTGTGTCAAGTACCATGCGCCTTTACCATTCTCCTAATTTTACAAAGTTTTTAATTTAAAAGCTATCTTAATACACATCATTTATCCACGTCAAGCAAAAAAAGCAGTATAAATCAATACAGTGTGCCACGTTTATCAGATATTGACGCCGTTAGGCTCAATTTAACGGCAAGGGCCGAATTGTTGCAATTTTCACAAAAATGGGACCCAATTGAGACGTCGAGAAAGAAAAGGACCAAATTGAGATTCGGCCCGAAAATAGGGACCTCCGGAATGATTAAACCTTTCACTAACTGATTGGTTTTTTGATTTTATTTATTTATTTTATTTTATTTTAAAAATTATTCTAAATTTTTTTTATACATGTATAAATAAATACTAAAAATATATTTAGTTGTTTTTAATTAATTAATATTTTTAATTAGATAAATTAAAATAATCATTACATTTACATTATAAATTTCCATATTATAATTAGTAATAAAAATTTAATTTGCAAATGTTAATAGTTCAAGTCATAATACTACTATGTATTTGTATCACTAAAAGTATATGGTATAAAAATTAAAATTTTTAAATTATTTTCATTTTAATTTTAATAAAAATAATAATGTATGTTGAATTTGAATTCTTAAATTTTTGAGCGCTGTTACTCTGCATTCAAAATGCTATGGCTATTAATTTTGATATTTTAAAATATATTAAAAAGATTTCTAAAGTACTAATATAATATAACATAAAAAAAAACAAATAAAAAATCTGTACTCGTAATATATCCACTAATTTTGTAAGTTAAATAGATCGCACCAAAAACGAGAGACCAATCGACGGATGTGGTCCACCTTTTTAGTATAACATGGACATAATGACGCAATATGGGAAATTCTTGCCAATTACCAGAAACATTAAATTATGTAATTATTAAATCATCCAAGAGTACTATTTTGCATTTATGTTAGTGGGACCAAATTAATTCTGTTACGAAAGCTATTGCTTTCAAATATTTATAATAGTACATACACTGTAACAAATTTATTTGTGTTTGTGATTTCTTAAGTTTTCAAAAATTAAAGAGTGAGTTTAAATTTTATATTTGATAAAAATAGAAAAAGTCGAAATTATATAAAGATGAAAATAAATTTATTGATTTTACTATTTTTATTTATAGTATTGCATGATATAGTGTAAAATATCTTATATAGATTAAAATCAAAAGTGTTCTTTACCCCTTTATTTCTTCGGATTCTCATTTCTGATTGGTAAATCTGATAATATTGGTACACCTTTTATAACCATTCGGTTAGGTTGCATGACCCGCTTTTGTAGTTATCCTTCCCTTTATATATCTCTTCCCTTTTCTGTACTCAGTGAATCAATCAATCAATAATATTTCTTTTTTTCTCTGGCTTATCTTGTCTCTCTCTCTTCTCCTTTAAGCCTTCTTCTCTCTACTGAATCTATGAAAATCATTGAATCCTTATTGATTATTTTTTGGAAAATGACACTTGAACAACTATTTTTGACAACATTTAGACACGCGCACACGTGTCAAAATCTGAGTGGTCCATTTTCATTTAATTTTTCCAACTGGACCACTCAGATTTTGACACGTGTGCGCGTGTCTAAATGTTGTCAAAAATGGTTGTTCAAGTATCATTTTCCTTATTTTTTGAAGCATGTTTTATTTCTCCATTGACTAGCTTCTTGATGTCCAAACAGAAAATTGAAGCAAATTTTACTCAATTGAAATGTAATCATTATTTATGTCTATTTAAGGTCTGGCTGGCCTTTTATTCTTTTTCTAGTAAAGTCTTATTTTTTTCTCAACTTTATCATTGGTTAAGAAGAGTTGCAGTTTTCATTTGAACAACTCTACCTACCTGTGGCTGTCCAACATCGTCCACACGCACTATCAATCCCCCCAAAAAGAGAGTATTTTAGTGGGCAGAAATTCAGACATCTCAATATCCTCCACTTTTCTTTTTCATTGTCCTTAAGTTGTCTGTTTAAGCAAACATAATCATGGTTATTCTTTAGCTAATCATGGCGATTGTCATTGAAAAATAAAAGCTTCCAAGTGGGCAAATACACGGTGGTAAAGTTGGTAACCGAAAGTTCCCTTTATGGGATCAGGTAGCAATAGATTATTAAGTATTCAAATATTTAACAGTGGTGAAACAGTAAAAATGACGTTTAGAAAATAAGTTCTTATGAAAATATAGTCTGATAGTAAGTTTGTGGTATTCTAGTTTGTCTTCCTTTTATATAGAATGAAGAAACATCTCAATACAACTGATATGATGTCAATGTTGTAAGTACTGAATTTTCTTTCGTTTTAAATGTATATCCTAAATGACAAAGTAAAAAATAAACATTTATATTATAAAAGCTTTTGAATGGCACACACCTTTACAGGTGTTCAAGATAAATGATCAAATGCTTTTGGGTCATAAAGTTCGATTTCTTTGGGAGAAACTGTCTGAATAAGTGGTTTAATTAGGTAAGTATTTTTTATGGTAGAATAACAATTAGTATTATATAGATTTGTTTATGAAGTTTGTATCTAATCAGAGAACGTGGGAGATGTTGAAAGCAAGAGAAGAAGAGAAGCTTTTGGATGCAGCAGTGAAGAAGGAACGTGTCTCTGCAGAAGCCAGGCTGTTGTAGTGTTCAAATTTAAGAATCATCTATTAGTGTGCCACGAACGTAATTGGGTAAAAGAAAGTAAAGCCATTGTTAATACTACACACAATGAAGCCATCACTTTCTTTATTTATCACTTCACCCTTTTTAGTGCAATTTTTATATTTAATTTAATTATAACGAGAAAGACAAATAGACTAGACATATGTAATGTACCGCATGTAAGAACTTCTGATGCTAAGATTGATGGAAGGATATGAAAATCCGTTGGATTTGAACCGACAAAGCTTCTTCATAAAACTACACCCAAAGTCAAGAATAACGCGCACACACTAACTTAAACTCCCAAATCTAAACACAGCACAGTTTCTTGGCTACTTTCCCACTCACCAATGGTGAAACAGAGAACCCCCCTCAAAAGACAATGCCAGAAAGCGAAGCCGAGGAGCAAGACAAACTGAATTGGAAAACTGAAGATTCCAATGATAAACTCAACTGATCATCTCATCTTTTCATTCTCACTGTTACTAATCCTAGCGTTTACCCAACATCATGCGGCTATTTCCGACCAAGCCAACGCGCCATTCGTGGGCGTGAACATCGGCACAGACGTCTCCAACCTCTTACCCGCACCAGACCTCGTCAACTTCCTCAAACACCAAAAGATCACTCACATCCGTCTCTACGACGCCAACCCCGACATCCTTCGCGCCCTGTCGGGCACCGACATCCACGTCACCATCAGCGTCCCCAACAACCAGCTCCTCGCAATCGGTTCCTCCAACGCCACTGCCTACTCCTGGATCCGCAAAAACGTCGCCGCATTCCGCCCCGCCACCCGAATCTCCGCCGTCTCAGTCGGCGACGAGGTCCTCACCACACTCCCCTCCGCCGCGCCGCTCCTCCTCCCCGCACTCCTCTCCCTCCACGCCGCCCTCGTGGAGTCCAACCTCCACAAGGACGTGGTGGTTTCCACTCCTCACTCCGCCTCCATCATCCTCAACCCTTTCCCGCCCTCTCAGGCCTTCTTCAACCAAACCCTCGAGTCCTTCGTCCTCCCTCTCCTCCATTTCCTCTCTCAAACCAATTCCCCCTTAATGCTCAACCTCTACCCCTACTATGTCTTCATGCAGAACAAAAACCTCGTCCCTCTCGATAACACGCTTTTCAAGACCCTCCCCGCTTCCAAACAAATGGTTGATCCCAACACTCTTCTTCACTACACCAACCTCCTCGACGCCATGATCGACGCTGCGTACTTCTCCATGAAGAACCTCAATGTCTCTGACATCGTCGTTCTTGTCACGGAAACCGGCTGGCCTTCCAAAGGGGACTCCAAAGAACCCTATGCCACACTTTCCAACGCTGTCACATTCAATTCGAATCTTATTAAGCATGTTTTGGATCGGAGTGGCACCCCTTTGCATCCCGAAATCACTTCTAGTGTTTATATATATGAGCTTTTTAACGAAGATTTGAGGTCCCCTCCTCTGTCTGAGGCTTATTGGGGTTTGTTTTATGGGAATGCTACGCCGGCTTATTTGCTTCGTGTGTCTGGGGTTGGGGCTTTTCTGGCCAGTGATAATGCTAATCAGACATACTGTGTTGCTGGGGATGGTGTTGATTTGAAGGTTTTGCAGGCTGCGTTGGATTGGGCGTGTGGACCAGGGAGAGCGAATTGCTCTGAGATCCAGCCTGGGGAGAGTTGTTTTCAGCCGAATAATGTTAAGAATCATGCTTCTTATGCTTTTGATAGCTATTACCAGAGTCAGGGGAAGTCTCCTGGATCTTGTGACTTCAAAGGGGTAGCCATGATCACAACCACTGACCCCAGTAAGTTTAAATTAAATCTCTCGTCTTTTTTGGTTGATTTAGACTTTTTGTATTGTTTTCTAATCATTCAATTCATTTTTGGTAGACATTTTAGTCTTTGTATTATGTTGGTTGCTTCCTCCTTGTGCCTTCTTATAAATCTTCCTGGGGTTTTAATGTATATGCGGTTATATTTCACTAGACTCTTTCAGAGTGAAGGGCGTTTCCGTTTTCATTTGTTATCATGTGGTTATACTGCTTCATGTTTTACCTCATAAGCTTGTTTTATGGTGTTGAGGGAGAATCTATGGTCTAAGATAAAGAACAGAGTTGTGAATAATAATGATTTCTACTTTCGATTGGGAAATGGGTAAACTAGAACTGTGGCGAGGCAATGATTTCTGGTATGATAATGCAAAGGCACTTTGACTAGACTCTGCTTTTAGGATTGGAACGCAGTTGGTTAAAATTGATTGGAAAAAGAGTTCTAATTCTCTTTCGTCAAAACAGAATTGGTGATAGCAGGTCCTCTGTTTGGCTGTTTACCCCGACAGTTGCTGAGATTTGTCCATATAACAGTCACTTTCTTGCTATTCAGTGTTCAATTTGCACAGTTTACTGCCAACCCAGTTATATTGAGTATACACGCAATGCAATCATATTTTCTCTATACCTACTTAAATATAAACACGCTTTTCTTTGCAGGTCGCGGCAGCTGTATATTTCCTGGAAGGTACGAAGCATTGTCTGCTAATCTGCCCAGTTTTTCACGTTGTTTTATGGATCTAAACTTTTTGAAAACAAAAAGTAAGTAATTGCTTTATCTAAAGTTTGTTTTCTCGTACTGTTGATGCAGTAGGAGTTTAAGCAACAAGACAAAGCAAGTAGTGAACATCACTCACTCAAGCAATGCAGGGGATAATTTAAGGTTAAGAGCCTTTAGAAGCATTGAAATAAGTGCAATCTACAACATTCTGCACAATTACTTGGTTGCTGTTTTCCCCCTTTTGTTGTTATTCGTTCTTTGAGGCTAAAAAGGAAAAATTATTAGTCTTTTTGAGGTGGTAGGATTTATAGGATTATTCTGCATCTCTTAGAGCAAATGATTTCTGAATGGCCTGCTGTTCTAAAACTTAGTCCTTAAGATAGGTGCTCCTTTCAAGAAAGTGAAAAGGGAGTGTGGTTGTAATTAAATATGTATTGTGAAATTATAGTTGTTAATCAATCTTTGTAGTATACATAATGGAAGTGAATCTTCTTAGGTGAATTTTTACAAGACATGTTCTCATGTGAGGAGAGACACACACAAACAAAAACTATTATCACAAACAGGGTTTAGACGTTTTATTACTCCCCTGTTGTTTATGGTTTTTGTTTATCTCACATGAAACATCTGTCATCAATAAAATTGGGAGTTAGAGGGACAACAGTTCAATTTCTTATATTTTATTTCTTTTTATTTACTTAGAAAATGTTAAACAATTCATATTCAAAACCTTAGTTGGTCTACAAGCTGACCCAATAATCTGTTGATGACCCCTTAAGCCATATAATCAGTAAGTTAAACACATTGAACCAATAATTTTACTCTAAAAATTATTATTGTACCCAATATCTAATTGTATTATTTTATTTTTTTGGTATTATAACTGTGAGATCATCTACAGACTAACATAAGTTGGTATCTATAAAGTGAACTATTTTCAATTTTGGTTCTTATAATACTTCAAAATTAGTTTTTATTTACTATATTACGTGCTTTGTTTAAATGACTGTGGTGTGTTAAGTAAAAAGTTAAATGATCCTTCAAAATGACGTTTACTAGTAGTATAATAATGTTAGTAAGTAACGTCTTAAAAATTTAAGATATGTAAGATATTTTATTTATTTTTAAGGACAAAAATAAAGATAAATATTTTATAAGAATTGAGACCAAAATCATACATTTTATAAGATTAAAAATAACGATTTCAACTTTTACAAGATGAAAGAAAAGTTATAAGAGTCAAACCAAAAACTTATTATATAAGAGTAAAAGTATATTTAAATCTTGTTTTATTTCTATAAATTATATGCTTCAAATATTATATTAATGTGTGACTAACCTTTACTTCGTGTGTTTATCCTGTTTGTCCATCTTCAAATTGATTTGATGCATTAGTTCACCCTATTATACTCACTGAGGAAAAATAGTGAATTATTGAAAACCTACCCTTCATAAAAATTTAAAAAGGCTGGCCATTACTTCATGTTTTTCAACTTATTATTCCATCTATAACTAATTAATAAATAAATTTACACAATAAATTGTACCACTTTTACTATTTTTAAACAATAAAATTACAAAGTAATGAATATTTAAAAAGTTGTTAGTTACACGGACTGCTTGAGAATAAGTGTCCCTATTTCGTATATTCTGTGGGTCAAATCAACTAGGCTAAATAAGAAATGGATCAACAAAATCGCTTTATCTGTCAGATGGGTGTTGCTCCCTCCATCATCCCAAGTACTTCTGTACCTCCCCACTATTTTCTTTTATTCCAAAAACACCCTACACCTTCCAACTATCCTCAACAATTTTTCTCTTTCTCTCTGCATTAATGATGGAGCATTATCTTTCTCTTTTTCTCTTTACATTAATAGAACATTTTCTCATTCTCTCTACATTAATGGAGCATGGCTTAGATATAAACTTGTGATATATTGCAAAATATAAAATTGAGAGGAAACTTCAATATTAATGCTTCTACTGCTTCCATTTTATAAACTTAAATGCAAATCCAAAATAATAAACATAATAATATTAATAGTAAATAATATATTATTATTATTATTATTATTATATACTAACTTTATAATGACGAAAGAACTAAATAAATACCAAACTTTTAACAAATAACTTTTCTTTTATATTTTAAGTATTTAATAATATTTTTATATTATTTATCTAATAAATTAAATACTTTATTCAAGTTATTTGAGTCAAACATGTCGGTAAGTTAAAACATAATATAATGTTAAAAATTATAGATATTAAATGTAAAAAAAACACACACATATATAAAAAATTTTCTAGAAATTTAAAACAAAATTTTACCATTTATTAAGTGATTTGAAGAAAAAAATATATATATTGAATAGTGAAAATAAGATTGAATCAAGCTTATTTAAGAGAAAGTGTAAATAAAATTTTGCAATATATCACAAGTTTAAATCTGAACCATGTGAATACTCCATTAATGTGGAGAAAGAAAGAGAAAGATTATTGAATATAGTGAGGAGGTATAAGGTAATTTTGGAATAAAAAAAATAGTAGAGAGATGTAGAGTAATTTTAGAATAAAAAAAAATAATGAGGAGGTGCAGAAACACTTAAGATGGTGGAGGGAGCAACACCCCTGCTAGATTGATGTGCTAGATTGATGAATCATTAATAGGGTGTTGCTCCCTCCACCCCCACACGTCTCTTCCTCCACCTCCCCTTTACTATTTTGCCCCTTCCTCCACCTTTCCTTTACTATTTTGCCCCTCAGTAAAATTTTATTTTTAAAATTGTTGTTTTTTAATTTTATTCATTTATAACATATTTCACTGATAACCTACGTAGTTTCTTGTATGAGTAAAATATTTTTCTACAAAGCTTGGTGATCGTGAAAAGAATTATCAAACAATCTTCTTCTTGTTCTCGGTGCAGTACGTGGTGCAGTGCGTTTATGGTGTAGTGTCCTTGTCGTGGTTCCTCTCCAGGTACGTAGTCATAATCCTTCCAATAATCCTAAACCCTAAATCCTTCCCATACTTCCAATAATCCTTTTAATATCCAAGCCTATAATCCTTGCATGAGCCGCAAAACGTAGTAAAATAAAAACGAAACGTAAAAGGAACACTGCCTATGGACGGATGACATCCTTCAACGGATGTCAACATCCGTTTAAGGCAAAACGGATGTCGACATCCGTTTAAGGCAAAACGGATGTCGACATCCGTTTTGCCTTCAACGGATGTTGACATCCGTTGAAGGATGTCATCCGTCCAGAGGCAGTGTTCCTTTTACGTTTCGTTTTTATTTTATTTGTTTATTTTATTTACAGTAATTTATATTTAAATTTATAATTTTAAATGTTATATATGGTTAGTTTTTAAACGTAATAATTTTGTTAAAATATGAATTTGTTATAGGTGGAGAAGAAGCTTAACGGAAGAGAGAAAGGTAAATGAAAATGGAAAAGAGGAAGAGGTACAGAGGGAAGTAAATCAGAAGTTTTAAATAAATTAAAATATTAAAATAATAAAAATAAAAAATTTTAACTTTTGAGGATATAATTGTCATTTTAGAAGGATATAATTGGCATTTTAGAAAATTGGGGAGGTGGAGGAAGAGACGTGTGGGGGTGGAGGGAGTAACACCCTCATTAATAAGCCCAAGCCCAAATAAAGGAAACAAAAAAACTAAATTTAAAAAATGCGGTGAATGTGTTTCAAACTGATCTATCGCTGCACATTGATTTGTTAGCTTAATGAATCATAATCATTCCGAGGCACAACTCCGAAAAGGAAAAAAAATACTAAATTTAAAAAATGCGGTGAACGTGGATCGAACACGTGACCTTCAGATCTTCAGTCTGACGCTCTCCCAACTGAGCTATCCCCGCATTTTACTTCTTCTTAACCTTAATTTTATAAAATACAAGATACTCAGTTTGTTTTATCTTCCAAATAATAAAAAATGCATATTTTTTCAACTGGCACTATAGTTTAACATCTCTACAGCTTTCTGTGTAAGAAGCATATTATAATGAACTTGTCACGTGAACTCTTTGCAGTTGTAGCATATTAATGAAGGTTATTCTTTTTGTTGTAGGGTAAGCATATTACTTTACCAACATCATATCAAGCTAACCATTTTTCAACACTTCAAATCTATCACATATATATTAAATTATATATCAATTTTTTTTAAAGTAAATTTGCTCTCAACAAAAAAGGAATAGACTGTGTTCAAATACATAATCATTTATATTAATATGTTTTACTCTATTTATTCATTTGTATAGTTTTACAAACGAATAAAATTAGTGAAATCTACAACTTTTATTAATTTATTTACTAGCATATTTTTGTTCAACCATAAGTGATACATTTTCTCAAATATTTCCTTTGTCACTTCTTCACCTTTCTTTCTATCGTTATTGCCAAAAAACCACTACAAGAAATTTTTAGTCATAATTTATGGGTATTACTGTAAACACTTCTCACTAATGGGCTGTCATCAATAGAAAGTGTAGTGTCACATTTATTATCGATAATTTGTTTTATGGGGATATCAATATTTTAATATGTGAGTTATTGATTTATAAATTAGCTTTTTTTAGAAAAGAAAACTTAATTAACATTGAACTTCTTGTAATACCCTTTATTTTTAGGTTCAGGAATCACTTTTGTAAAGTTAAATCAAAATAATAGTTTTAAAGTTATAGTAAAAAAAGAAACTATTTATACAAATAAAATATACTATTTAAGTTCAAATGAAACTAAATTTTGAAATTAAGTTATTACAATATAAATTTAATATGATTTACGTCAAATGCTATAATATCATTTCAGTTTGTATGGTGTAACATATATCATACTATAACTATCGCATTATGTTTATCATGTTCATATGATAACGTTATTTTGTCAGTTATGTTATCATTTTAATGTATTTTTTATTTTATGAAAGGATAAGTTCAATATTACATAATCAGTTTTCTCTGTATACAATCATGACACAAAAAGTTTAAATTATAGTAATTAAAATGTCAAGTTTTATATTTATAAAAATTGGAAGATAAAATAACGGATGGAAGATGTGTATAAATTTTTTATTGAATGTCAAAATAGAAGTAGGAAAGACGTATATAAAATGTTAAAAGTAAAGAAATAAGGATTATGAAACTTTTACAACATTTTTTTATAATATTTTAAAATTATTTATGTGTTATTTTTTATTGGTCTAAAATTATTTTACAATTAATAATAATAATTTTAAACACCAACATAGATCAATCACAGAATGGCACACGTAAATGATGTTAAAATGTTGTAAAAAAAATATTATGAAAGTATCATTATCCAATAAATAATGGGGTTAAATTATTTGTGAAAAAGGTGAAAGGTTTTGTCCTTTGGGTATTGAAAGTATGGTCTATGGGCTAGTGATGGAGAAGGAGAAGTTGTTTGCATGTTTGGTTCCTAAGATGAACGAAA